AAACTTCAAGTTCCTCAAATTTTCTACTGTAGAAGTTAAAAAGAGAGCAGAGGGAGAGTAAGTGTTTTTTCATTTTCTATATTCAGTCTTCCTGGTGTAGCAAAGGTCACTGATTTTACACCCCGCTGTTAGCTCAGATGCTAAGCTTATTTCTGAAACGGTTCTGTTTTTATGGATGGTGAACTACTGTTGATGTATGTCGAGTACTTATGCAAGTTCTATATCTAGATTAGTATTTCTCATGAGTAACCGCATTAACTTATTTTATGACTGGAACTCTGAGGGCCTGAGAAACTGCGTGTTTTAACACTGCACATGCCTGTGGGACCTACCTGTGCTCCTCACAATCTCTGTACCAGGCATTAGCAAAGGATCTTTTCAGGGCTTCCATTCTTCCATTGATAAAAACGGAAAACCTTACGGAAGGACGTGATGCTTTTCTTCATTGGAATACTTTTGTGACATGGTATAAGACATTGAGGTATCGTGGAAGGAAGTGCGAACTGGGGACTTTGAACACTGAAATTCATACCTATTGTAGGCCAGGTCCTTAGGGCATTCAATGCTGTGATTCTGTACATTGAAGTGATTTCCATTATTATTCAGAGATGGAATAACAGGCCACTTAGAGTATTGTACAAGAGCACTGAAGTGGGATCAGGGATCAGTACCCTGTCCTTTCTTGATTGTGTATAACTTCGGACAAGCATGGAACCCTACCGGAACTTAGTCTGTCTGATTAGGCTTTGGGGACGGAAATGAGCAATGGGGATAGGGCGGGCAGGCTTTGTTATGGGAACAAAGGGAAAGTAGAAGAACAGGACTCTGGAAGAGCAGGAAGTGGATGGTGGTTTTGGTGCCAAGGCAGCCGCTGCGGGTGGAGGAGGGGGCTCTGCTTCTCCCTGTCTTAATGCCCACTCACCTCCATTTCTACCCATAGTTTCCTTTATTTCCATAGTGTTCAAATTACGTGAGTCCGACAAAATTTTGGTTAAAAATCCTTGTTCCCATGGAGCTGGGGAGAAAAATGGTTTGAACCCCTGCCACCCTATTGCATAATTTCTGCTTACTCATACCTCTGGCCCCTCCTAGCTCTGTGCCAGCATGCCTTCTCTAGCTGCGCCAGGGTGGCAGGGAAATAAATGAGTGTAGCAGGCTGGGAGCAAGAGAAGAAGGGAGTAGGGAGTGGCTGGGATTGCGGGGAGTTGGAAAGTGCACGCCCTGTTTTAAGGGAAGAAAACGTGCTGCAGCTCTAGCTAATTGGAGCTCTGTGGCCTGCAGCAAGATCAACGCTAGGTGTCCAGATTTTCTTTTTTTTTTTTTTTTT